GTTTTGGCTTTTTTTGTGTAAAAAATAGCCTGTTTTGTTTCTTTTAAGGCTATTTTAGCTGAGAAAAAAGGAAAAAAAGGAATCTGACATTTTGTTCTTCCCAAACGAGGCCTTAGATAGTACAGGATGCGGCAATCATCAACTACTTATCGACCTATAAATAAGGTGTTTTTGAACACAGTGGTCAAAACGAAAATTGATTTTTTTATGATTTTTTTATGACAAAAAATTAAATTACTTTTGAGAATATAAAGCATTGACTGTTGTTCTAATTAACACGAAAATTATAAAAAGATCAAAAAATATTGATATTCTTTAGGACTTCATCGTCCAAAGGTGCCCTTTCGATGATTATTTTAGAGACGAATTAAAAGTGGATAGAATTCGCGAATCTCCTATATAGTGGAGGATATTAGTTCATCCAAAAGCCTATACGTTTGCTTTGTTTAGCAGGATCTGTTTCTAAGTGTGTTGACTTATTTTAGGTACACAAGCGACACTACTTACGCTTCTTTTAACATATAAGATTAAAAGTTAATTTTAAACATTACTTTTTGAAAAAAATTTTGGTTAAATCGCAGATTTTCTTTTTCTTTTTCTAAAGCTTTTATAAGAAAACTGTCAAAAAAATAAAAAAAATCTGTAACGCTGTTTTCTAAAAGCTTTGAGTTGCCGGCTGATGGACGGGTGCGGCTGAAGTCCACATAGATTTTTTCTCTTAGTATGATAATCTGTTTCATAGTAACAAAACATGAATGCTATGGCTTTGGTTAAATTAAGTTGTTATGAAACTGTCAAGGGGTCGACTATAGGAGCTTTAATTCGAGTATTGAGTAAAATTGGAAATTTTTTAAAACATCACATTGTAATACTGTAATATATGGTTCATAATATTGATTATTTGAAAATATTCAACTCATTACATTATATTAGGACCATTACCTAAGATCTCTAAAACTTCTTTGTAAAACATTATCGTTATTCTTATATAATTAATAGCCTAAGTTACATATTAATTACGATTAATTCCATAACGTTATTCATTTTGCATCTGAGATGGGCCCTTTCTAATGATTTTGGTTTTTTGGGTTTTTTATTTACTGTATTATTTTTAGATTGATTTATATTATAATGATTTTGGTTTGGTCTTGCCTTAGAGTTCCACACTCTGAATTCCGCCATTGTTGCATCATCCTCCTAGTATAATCAACGACGACGATGTTGCAAATCTCATCCTCCTCCTCCACCTCCACCTCCACCTCCTCCTCAACTTGGAACTAGAACCACAACACCACTACCACAGCACCCTTCGATCAACCTGTGTCTGTCTGTCTGTCTGTCTGAGAAGAAGAAAAACGGGAGGGGAAATAAAAAGAAGAAGAAGAAGAAGAAGAAGAAGAAGAGAGAAGTAGTTGTAATTTTGTGGTAGAAATGGCTGCCCTAATCTATCAGATATTCTCATCGTCAGCTCTGATATCCATGGGACTGTACCATCTCATTTCCACCACCAGGAACCACATCAAATCCCCTCGCGACTACTTCGCCAAACCCTACCATCCCTTGTCAGCCTCAGCCTCATCCTCATCCTCATCTCGTCTCAAGCACCTCCAGCTTTACCTTGTCATCATCTGCCTCCTCATCGCCTTCGTCCACCAAACCCTAATCTCCACGGACTCCGACCCACTCCTCAAGGGCCGCACCCCCGTCCACCGCTTCACCTCCCTCCAGTCCGCCGGCGTCCTCTTCCTCTTCCTCATCCTCTCCCTCTCTCTCCTTATCTCCGACTCCACCTCCCTCCTCCCCTTCCCCCCCGATCTCTTCTTCGGCCTCGCCTCCGCCATCTTCTTCCTCCAATACTCCATCTCCTCCACCGCCGCCTCCCTCCAGACCTCCGATCTCCAGGCCAAGTGCGACTCCGTCTCCGCCCGCATCTCCGCCCTCTCCGCCCTCCTCTGCCTCTCCCTCGCCTGCCACCCCAGGCTCTTCGTCGCCGACCTCGCCCTTGGGGCTTCCCTCTGCCTTCAGGGACTCTGGGTGCTTCAGACCGGCCTCTCTCTCTACGTCGATGCCTTCATACCTGAAGGATGCCACAAGCTTCTCGACGTTGTCCGCGGCGTCGACGGTTCCACCAAGTGCGATTTGGACGACTCCAAGCTCAGGGCCGTCGCAATCCTCGATCTGATGTTTGTCATCCACGTCGTCTTCGTTGTCCTCGTTGTCATGCTCACTTATGCTGTCGTTGCCAAGACTGTTGGAATCAGGAGGTTTGGATCTTACGAGGCCTTGCCTACTGTGGCTTCTGCTGCTGCCGCCGACTCCAATCACATCCAGATGAAGGCTATGACGGGGACCCAGGCCTGATCTCTCTTTCCTTTGTATTCTTTGGATCATTTTTTTTTTTTTTTTTTTTTTTTCTCTTTTCTAATTTTGTTACTCAGTGTTCTGTTCTGTGGTAATGCTTTGAAGAACTTCTTGTCCCTATTTTTGTTGTTCACAAAACTTTGTAACCTCTTAGCATTTTCAAGGGATTTTAGTGTATACAAAAGCAATTTACTCTTTTTTCTTGTTTGGCTTACTTGGCTGGCTCCTCAATCCCCTGTGTTTTCTTATTTCCTGCCAAACAAGATTTTTTATCTCACGCTGTCTGCTGAATGTAAGTATTCTTTGCCTCGGTTAGATGTGCTTGAACCCTTGTTGTATTGTGGAATTATCTTCCTTTCTTTCTTACAACTGGAAGTTTAATAGATTTTCTGGGTTTTAGCATCCTTGATAGCTCGCTCATAAGTTGCATTCGTTCTCTTGGATTGATACTGCATCATTTAATACCAAACATGTTTCATTGAAATTCTCTTATCCAGTAGGATGTTTTATTAAAAAACACTACATCTTATTGGTTTGTTGAGTAATGTGCAATGGGAGGTGATGTTATATCAACTGTGTTTTTGGCCTTTAGGTTGCACTACGATTTTGGGCTTTTTAAACAAATAGATTCAGGCTTAAGCACTTAGGGATTATAGCTTAGATGTTAGGCACATATGCATTGAGAGGTTTATGGGTGTGGATTTGAAATTACAATTAACATGGTGAAGGAAGTGATTTAAAACCCTTGCCACGAAAGATTCTAGATGTATGAGGACAGGATCCTAGATAGATCTCCCCTACCTGCTTTATTAACCTTCTTAGATCTCCTAATTTAACTTCAATAGTCAATCCTCCTACCTAATATTTTGAAATCTAAACCCCAAATCCTTTCATGTCAAATTCACCCACGCAAATGTAACCTTATTACTTTTGTGGTGATACATTAGCTTTTGTTTGATACATTTTTTACCCTTTAAAAAGTAGTTGGAGGTGGAGGCTGGATTTGATACATGTTTGCTTTGTGGTTAGAGTGGAAGTGTTGAGTTGTAAACTTCATCCTCATTTGGATAATCGTTTCCTATTGTGTTGAACTGTTGTGTTAGGTAGAAAATTGGCAGCCATAAATACCTATGTATAAATGCCAGGATAAGGTTGTGTTGGAGCTTGGAGGTCCTCCATCTCTTTCCTTGGTTTTTTGATGTTATTGTAATGTTTTCTTTTCTTTTCTTTTGATAAGCATGTTACTGTAGTTCATTTTAGAGTGATTGGTTGACTATGAAGTTGAATGATCTTCGAAGTCCTTAATGATTAGAAAGAATAAAAAGTAAGTGAAATTACATTACATGGGTTTCAGTGGTTAATGTCCTCCCATGCATAGTCTCAATGTTTTGCACTTCCATGCATAAATGACTAAGTTTTCAGTGACAAGTCAAGTATCCACGCTCTAGTGCTCAACTTCTCTCTCCTTAAGTTTGCGATCAACAAAAGGTGACTGACCCACTTTCTTTTCCCTTTGTGGCTCCCCCCTTATCCCTTCCTTTCAAGTACAATTATCCTTAGGAATGCTTTTTCTAACAATGATTCATGGGTCCAATTTTGGGTCATGTGGGCTGTTATCTCGTTTAGACTATGACTACTATATCTGTCAAACAATTATTATAATTATCTAAAAATCTCTAACTACTAAAACTGAGGGAGGGAGTGAGTGGGGGCGAACCATTATACCTGTCCAGCAGTATTTGGAGACTCAAACTAAACCTAAATATGATTTAATAAGCCCTAGGTGTACTCCATGTGAAATTCAAGATCTGCCTTTTTTTGTTTTGTGTTTTTTGTTTTTTGTTCACCATCAAACGCACTCCATTTTGTTATTTTGTCAGCCAAATAGTACAGACTATTATATAATAGATCAATGGACAACATGAAAATGGATTTGTAACTTAGTGTTCTATTTTAGGAAGTGGAAGCAAATAAAGTCAGCAAAAAGAAGAGAAACAGGTTAAGCCTTTTGTTTGATCACCATAGGTTATCATGGTTTGACCTTATGTAATTTGATTATCTCTGAATGTAATTTGCTTTACTTATTAAAAAATAAAATAAAAATCTATGGAACTAAAAAGTAAAGAAAGAAAAGGGTATCTCATATGAAATCAGCCTATCTCCCCCAAAACCTTAAGTCAATTGATTGAAAGAGAGATAGGGAGAGAGGCTTCAACCTAGGAAGAATAAGGGCAACCTGTTTTTCAGTCAGTTAACTAGTCTTCAGACTCCAATGCTCCACTCCGTCACCCTGTAACTACCACACCTATACACATTTACTTTTTTTGCTTCCCCCTTCCCCAACAGTTAACCTTAGGAGTACTTTTTGTGCTGTTGATTCATGTGCCCAATTTAGCTTTTGTGCGCTAGTCCTATTTGGACATGATCAGGTGGGCATGAGTGTGAATCCCCTTTGTAAATGTGTATGAATAAAAAATTGAACATACCAAAAAAAAAAAAAAAGAGTTTAAGAAAGATAGACGATAAAACTAATTCCTTTTGTTGTACATATTATTTTGTGGTGTCCTTGATGTGTCGTGTCCCGATTGTTTTGAAATTTATCATGTTTATGTATCTGTGTCATGTCACATACATGCTTCTTAGATGGAGGATATTGCCCCTTATGAACATGATTACGTGGGTGTGGGTGTGAATCCCCTTTGTAAATCTGTATGAAGGGGAAAAAATGAGCATACCAAAGATAATAATAAAGACAGACAGACAGACTCGATAAAACTAATTGCTTTCATTATACAATTATTTTGCCTTGTCCAGATTGTGTCATCTCTTGATTGTTTTGAAATTATCACGTTTAAATGTATGTGTCATGTCATATCCATGTTTCTTAGATGGAGGATATTGAACAACTCAGCTTTACACTGCATTTTGTGATTAGATGTGTAATTTATAAAGAAAAGAAAAGGTGAATGCTCAACAATTCTTAGAAGAGAAGGCGTTTTAAGGCTGCTTCATCCCCTTCTCTGCATTGATTTTGAGAATCAGAGCCTTGACTTGCTGTACCATTGCTGATGAGGGGGGTTTCTAGTTCGGAATACAATGTACTGTAGAGGTTTATAGAGATTGAGTGGAAAGCATATTATACTGTCAAACTCTGCGTTTTACCATCTTTGGCTAAGTGTCTCAGTTATTTGTCTAAACACATAAATAAATGGTCCCTGTGGATCATGTTATGTTGATGCTTGTAATATTAGGCTCTCATCTGTCTGGAATTACTGTGGAAAACATTTTCAGTTATAAGACTTGTATTGTGGGTTGTGTGACTGTTGTTTTGGTTTAATGTTAATGGACCTGGTTAGTGATTTTCTTTCTTTTTGTTTCTATTGTTTGCTTTGTTTTTGTTCACGACATTAATTCTACCCTAACTAGTGGTCTCAGGGTAGGAGTTGGAAGAGAAATGGTTTACTGCTCTGTTTACCGGGAACCATATATCACAATTCTTGGGCCTTGATATATCTTGAGATTCTTGTTAGAAACTAACAAGTTGCGGAAGGTTTTGTGGCATTGATGAGGATATCCTTCAGATAATGGGACTACTTTGTGCACAACTTATAAGCTACCTATAGCTTCTTTTCTTTTTCTTTTTCTTTTTTTTTTTTTAATTGTGTCAAATTGTTTAGTACAACTTCTGCTTACTGGTTATTAGGTAGAAATAGCTAAAACAACTAATTATCTGGAGATTTACTGCTGTGTGTCATTTGGCAGCTCATGGAATTGAATCTGATATTCATGACCCGCTCTGTAATGGTCTACTTATTAAAAACTCAATGTGGATAAACCTCCTCCTCTCCCATTGCATGAGGAGGTGCCATCATTGGTTCTTTTGGCGACTTTAAACCCGTTTCCAAGGAGGAGGAAGTCATCTTGCATTAGATTTGTCTTGCCTATTTATTTTTTTATGTTAGTGGTGAGGCTACGGCCTATGAATGAGTTCAGAGACATAAATGAGAGAAAGATGTTTGGCATTCCGAAGTTTATCACTGTAGAAAGAAATAGTAAAAAATAAGAATAAGATAACCATATTTGATTATTTGAGTATCCCTGTGCTTCTCTACGTGGATTTTCAGTTGCATCTGTTGTCCATGTATACATGGTGTGTTAGGAATCTAAAACCATGAACAATGCGGGCACATTTTTTGTTTGACTTCTCATTTCAACAACCAAACTACAGGTGTAGTAGCACAGGTCAATTTTATGGCATTCCATAAAGCATTTCTATTTTAGATTATTATTATTTTTTCCCTTGCCGGGTTCATAAAGCAAATCACGTCATACAGAGATGCCGATCTCTGAACGTAAGAGAAGATTACAGATAGAAGCACAATGTATGCATGTGTGAAAAGATTAGCGTTAACCCAAATAACCAATCTTGCAACAACAATTTTCTTGGCAACAGTGAGTAAATGGACAACTACTGGATCAAAGTGAGTAAATAATCAAAAAGGTGTTAAAAACATTGAGTAGGCCAAAAGATCAATGCGGATAAGTAAAACACATCTATCTACATACTAAAGAATCAAAGCATCTCAGCAAAAGGTGGTTTTACATCGGTTTTCTCCACTCAACCAAGTCAATTAGGCCTATAAAATTGATTACAATGATGTTTGGAAAGCATAAACCAATGCTGCAAATGAGATTGCCCTCCATCTCTACAACCAAACAAAATTAACTATAATTTCCTTGCACAAAATGGGGCAAAAAATTGTTTCACTGCTGAGATCCACCAACTAACACATAATAGGAACATGCGCTAGTATCAGCAACATCCAGAGTAAGAAGCAAGCCTGAAAAAAACAACACAAAAAAAAAAATGAAAAAATAGAACAGTAAGAGTAGAAGGGAAGGGAAAAAATAATAATAATAATAATAATGGAAACACAATGAGAATGACAGATAAATCTAAATTCGAAATGGGAGAGAATACCACAATACTATGTTTATTTAATTCAAAACTGCAGTACCATGAGTTAGTACACACTGCAGTATCATAATTATTTAATTTAGATGTTACAAACTTATACAACTGTACTATCAATTTGAAAGTGCAAATGAATTGACAAGACCAATTGAATTAACAAAAATATCAATCTCTCTGATGAGTGATCATGAAACTCAAGGAAGTGTTCTATTGTATCAAATTCCAAATGACTTGGAACATTAGTAATATTGCAAGAGTTCTGGATCAACTTATCATGGTTTAGTGCATTAATTGAACATGAATTTTATTGAGTATCGGCTTAGGTCACAATTCCCTCATTAAAGAGACTCAAGTTCGAGTCTCCTTATCTTACCTATCAAAAATTGTATTTAATTGGATTGATTTAGTTCCTTTTGGTGTACTACCTATGTGTCATGCGCAAGAGTATAATTGCCACTGAGAAGGTGATAGGAATTGATGTAAATCTTTTTATCAATTTCAGTAATATTCTTCTGTGGCTACATGACTTTTAATTATTCCTCCCAAATAGTGCCATCACTTCCTTGGGGCCATCGGACTAGAAAAAAACCCTTGAATTAACTATGGTGTACTTGCAGAAAACTCCATGCCGAGAGCTTATGCACCCCTTGGGATTAGTCAGGCGTTGATCTGGATATCCCGGTGCCAATCAAAAAAATATATATATATATTCCTCCCAAATAGTGCCATCACTTCCTTGGGGCCATCGGACTAGAAAAAAACCCTTGAATTAACTATGGTGTACTTGCAGAAAACTCCATGCCGAGAGCTTATGCACCCCTTGGGATTAGTCAGGCGTTGATCTGGATATCCCGGTGCCAATCAAAAAAATATATATATATATTCCTCCCAAATAGTGCCATCACTTCCTTGGGGCCATCGGACTAGAAAAAAACCCTTGAATTAACTATGGTGTACTTGCAGAAAACTCCATGCCGAGAGCTTATGCACCCCTTGGGATTAGTCAGGCGTTGATCTGGATATCCCGGTGCCAATCAAAAAAATATATATATATATTCCTCCCAAATAGTGCCATCACTTCCTTGGGGCCATCGGACTAGAAAAAAACCCTTGAATTAACTATGGTGTACTTGCAGAAAACTCCATGCCGAGAGCTTATGCACCCCTTGGGATTAGTCAGGCGTTGATCTGGATATCCCGGTGCCAATCAAAAAAATATATATATATATTCCTCCCAAATAGTGCCATCACTTCCTTGGGGCCATCGGACTAGAAAAAAACCCTTGAATTAACTATGGTGTACTTGCAGAAAACTCCATGCCGAGAGCTTATGCACCCCTTGGGATTAGTCAGGCGTTGATCTGGATATCCCGGTGCCAATCAAAAAAATATATATATATATTCCTCCCAAATAGTGCCATCACTTCCTTGGGGCCATCGGACTAGAAAAAAACCCTTGAATTAACTATGGTGTACTTGCAGAAAACTCCATGCCGAGAGCTTATGCACCCCTTGGGATTAGTCAGGCGTTGATCTGGATATCCCGGTGCCAATCAAAAAAAAAATAAAACCTAGTTAAGTCCTGATTTGTGAGAAAAAAAAATCTATGTCCCTCATGCCATATCATTCCCTTATTTTTCCTCCCAAGGAGACTCTATTTCCTCAAGCTAAGGTGTCTCTGCCATCTGGGCCATTTTATCTATGCATGCCTCCTCCCACAAGGATCCTAATGATCTACAATTAGTTATAAATAGAATTATGAACCCATTTTTGAATTTTCTCAAAACGTTTTTGGACATTAAGGTGGGCAAGTTGGACTTATCAACAAAAAAAGAAAAGAAAAAGATGGTTAAGTTGGCCAGTTATTGACATTCCTTGGAGTCCTGGGTTAAACTTATAGGCACCTTCAAAATGCCATTCTAAGCTTGTGTTGGGTGCTACTAGGAAAGCTTGCCAACAATGGCATTCTCACAAGGCAACATGACTAAGCAACGATGCACAACCGATATACAATATAACCTTTTCTTTTGATGTCTAGGACTGTAAATGAACTGAGCTGTTCACGAACAGACTCGGCTCGTTAAGGGCTCAGCTCGTTTAATAAACAAGCCGAGTTTGAGCTCAAATATTAGGCTCGTTTAGTAAACGAGGCGAGCTTGAGCTCGAATAAGCTCGGCTCGTCAAGTTAAGCTCAGATTGTTTATCTTTATTTAAATTGATTAAATAAATATATTATTTATATATTAAATAATAACGTAAAAGAACAAGTGTACAAATAAAAAATCATTCTTACTAGGAACTATATATTGTTAATTATTGTCAAATAACTCAATTTTATTAAAGCCAAGAGTAAAATATACTAAAAGTGTTTAAGAACCCAACAAAATAAAATGTACATAAACAATAGTAATGATATTATTACTATATTAGGAACTCTATTACCATAATCTTTTGATTTGCGATTCGATTTGTAATTTAAGCAAAATCGATATGAATTTAAGAGTGAATCTATGGTGAATCGCACAATTCACAATTGATTCACGATTCGATTAACTTTTTACATTTCATGCAAAATCTTGAAACTATTGTGTCTGCCATATTTCGATTCTTTTTTTCTCTTTTTAGTGAAAATGACATAATTTCGAATATAATAGTGTTTAGTACGAAAATAACCAGTATATACATGATTTTTGAAGCTTGGGTAACCAGCTTAGGGTATGATGAGATATCACCCCTTATTTATAAATGAAGATTTAGGGTTTACAAAGAAGACAATTACAAGATGATCCCTGAGCG